AGAGTGGAGACCAGCAGATGGTATAATGGTTATATCGCTGGACTCCCATGTAGTCAACTGCAGTTCAAGTCCTACATCCGGTGGCTTAAAACCCATGCCAGGCATGTGTGCTTATGTGCCCAAAATCCTGACAGGAGAATGGAGGAGCGGCCATTGCCCTGGGCTGGGGGAGGGAGGTGATTTCTCCCTTTCTTTCTCTGTCTCTCTGGTGAGTGCACACACCCTATAGCAAAAATCTGTGTAAGAAAAAGGAAAGGGAAGACTGGGCAAGAGAGAATGGAAAACCCTTTTGTGGGTTTTTGCTCCCAGCAAACGTCTCCTAACTGTTCGTCCTACTTTAACCCACACTATTTGCTTTTTCTTTTCAGTACTCCATGGTGGAACTCCAGGTAAGAACAAATTTCTTTTTCTTCCCTGTCGGTTGTGAAGAAGGAAGCATGAGGGAACCAGCAGTTAGCGTAATGGCTATGTCGCTGGACTCCCATGTAGTCGACAGCAGTTCGTGTCCTGGACTCGGTGGCTTAAAATTCACGCCGGGCGCGTGTGCGGGCGTGCCCAAGATCCCGAGAGGAGAATGGAGGAGAAGGGATTGCAGCGTGACCATCCCCTCCCCCTGGGGGGGGGGTGCAGGGCGGGGTGATTTCTTGCTTTCTGTCTCTTTCTCTTTCTGGCGAGCACACGCACCCTATAGCAAAAACCTCTCCAGGAAAAAAAAAAAAAAGAAGAAGAAGAAGAAGGAAGCATGAGAGTTCGATGCTAAACCTTAAAAGCAGAAACAGCTCTGAGCTCTTGACCTAGATCCCTGAGACTGCTTGAGCACCGAGTACCCGTAAGCCCGCCCACGCTGTGCCTCTCTCCCCTCTGCCGCCTCTTCTCCCAGCCCAGGCCTCTGTGGAGGGGACATCAGCATGTACTGTGGCTGCCCTCCCTCCGTCCTGTAACTTCTTGGCGCCACACCAGGCTTGGGTCTGTGCTCCTCCTCCTTTTAGATCAGAGCTCTTGTCACAGACACTGCCCAGTTGGAGGATGACATGATTACCTGTAAGAAGGGTCAAAGGTCAGGACTGGAAAGTGATTCCTCAGTGTTCCCGCCATTTTCCCATTACACCTCCTGTCTTTCTGTTAGGGATGAAGAAAAAAGTAGACTTTTTTTTATAAAGTCTTTTTCTTCCTTTCTTTCTTTCCTTTCTTCTTTCCTTCCTCCCTTCTTTCTTTCTTTCTTCCTTTCTTTCTCTCTCTTCCCTTCCTTCCTTCCTTCCTTCCTTCCTTCCTTCCTTCCTTCCTTCCTTCCACAGAAGAGAGACAGAGACAGACACCTCAATAGAATCTTCATGCCGCAATCCATCCCCAGCCTCATAGCCCACCATTCGGCCTCAGAGGAAACCCTCCTTGTAAATGCTATCCTGAGTCTCCCTCTCTGAAACTGGTGATAACACCTTAGGGCAGGCGTCCCCAGCCCCCTGGGCCGTGGACTGGAGCAGGTCTGTGGCCAGTCAGGACCCAGCTGCACAGCAGGTGAGTGGAGGGTGAGCCGTGCAGCTTCGTCTGTATTTACAGCTGCTCTCATCCGGGCATTACTGCCTGAGCTCCTCCTCCTGTCGGGTCAGCCGTGGCACTAGATTCTCACAGGAGTGCGAACCCCACTGTGAACTGTGTGTACGAGGGACCTAGGTGCATGCTTCACAGGAGGATCTAGTACCTGATGATGAGGCGGAGCTGAGGCAGGGATGCCATCACCGGGGAGTGACGGAAGGAGTATATCATGGCGAGTGGTGTAACCATTTCATTATATATTACCATGTGAGGATGATAGAAGTAAAAGCACGATCAATGTGAGGCACTTGAATCATCTCAAAATCACCCTCCCCCACCTCTCGTCCATGGAGAAATTGTCTTCCAGGAAACGGGCCCCTGGTGCCAAAAGGTTAGGAACCTGCCTTAGAGAACGCAGTCCGATCATTTGAATCCGAAGGGACCCTTTTCCTCTCAATGGAGCTGAATTCGCGGGAACATATATCTCTTTGAGTAACAAAGAGAAGTGTAAATAACACGGGAGCTGTTCATCCTGGACGCAGACGGCAGGGCCAGGACAATGGGTGCGATTCTCTGCCTGCATTTTGCAGTGCAGAGTGGGGAGCAGTGGGGCAGGCCTGTCATGCACGTTCTCCGTATTGGCCTTAGGATCCAAATAGCAACCGGATTGCACAGTGGCTGGAAGTGGTGCCCGAACAAGGCATTGCAGACCTGTCCTTTCAGCTGGCACCAGAGGCAACGCAGGGCACCTATACGGTGGCAGTGGCTGACGGCAAGACCTTTGGCACGTTCAGCGTGGAGGAGTATGGTAGGTGGGGAATTACAGGGCAAGAGGCGGCATCATCTTGTCTTACACCTGCAAAGGAGACTGACGTAAAATCTCCTCCGGGAAGAGATTGTTTATTCATTTTCGAATCAGTGCTAAATCAGCCAATACCTTTAGGAACACTTTACCTTAATAATGCCACTTTAAGGGACTAGCAGGTGGCGTAATGGTTACATCGCTCGACTCCCACATAGTCAACTATGGTTTGAGTCCCGGACCCAGCGGCTTAAACTCATACTGGGCGCATGCGTGTGCATGCCCAAGATCCTGAGAGGAGAATGGAGAAGGGATTGCAGCGTGGTCATCCTCCCTGGGGGGTGATTTCTCACTTTCTGTCTCTGTCTCCCTGGCAAGCGCATGTGCCCTACAGCAAAAAATCTCTCAGAAAAATGTAATAAAATGCCACTTTAATCAAATCAATGAATTTATGATCATTTTCTTTTGCCCCCGTGTTCATTACCTTTGACCAAGTCCACCTCTCATTCTTTTCCCGTTTCTCTTTTCACTCTCTCCAGTGCTGCCTAAGTTTAAGATGGAAGTGGTGGAACCCAAGCAGTTGTCAACAGTGGAGGAATCTTTCTTAGTAAAAATTTGTTGTAGGTAAGAGTAAAAGCTCTTCTTTCTTTCTTTCTTTCTTTCTTTCTTTCTTTCTTTTTTTTTTTTTTGAAGAGGTTTTTGCTACAGGGCACGTGTGCTCGCCAGACAGACAGAGAGAGACAGAGAGACAGAAGATGAGAAATCACTCCCCAGGGGGGATGGCCACGCCGCAATCCCTTCTCCTCCATTCTCCTCTCGGGATCTTGGGCACGCACCCACACGCGCCCGGCGTGAGTTTTAAGCCACCGGGTCTGGGACTCGAACCATGGTCAACTATGTGGGAGTCCAGCAACATAGCCATTACGCTAACTGCTGGTCCCCAGAGTGAAAACTCTTTGGGGTCAGCATGTGGCATGGTGGTTAAGGTGCTGGACTCCCACATGGTCTACTGTGGTGTGAGTTCTTGACCTGGCAGCTTGACTATCCCACTGGATATATGTGAGTGCATGCCCGAAGCCCTGAGAGGAGAGTGGAAGAAGGGATTGTGGTGTGGCCATTCCCCTGATGAGTGATTTCTCACTTTCCCTTTCTCAGTCTCTGTCTCTCTTCTCTGGATGTATGCACCCTATGGAAAAAAAAAAAACCTAAAAAAAAAAAAAAGAGAGGAAGCTCTGGATCTGTTGAGGATTAAAGCTGTATTGAGAGGGATCAGCAGATGGCGTAATGGTTACATTGCTGGACTCCCACGCAGCCAACCATGGTTTGAGTTCCAGACCTGGCAGTTTAAAACACACTGGGCATATGTGCGTGCATGTTCAAAATCGCAAGGGGAGAATGGAGGAGAAGGGATTGCAGCATGGCCATCCCCCGCTTGGGGAATGATTTCTCCCTTTGTCTCTCTCTGTCTCTCTGGCGAGCACACGTGCCCTATAGCAGAAACCTCTCTTAAAAACAAAACAAAACAAAAAGCTGTATTGAGAGTAGTAATGAGAGAGTATTGTGGGGAGAGGGGTTATAGGAGTAGCTAAAATCTGGGTGGTTCATGCAGTTCAGATTACGACCTCTCCAAGAACACAGTCACGGCTGCGTCCCTGCTCTTCCTCTCCACTGCTCGCTCGCTCAGTGTTCTCGATTTCGTCTCTACGTTGTGTAGAACCCAGTATTGAATTCCACGGAGAAACAGGAGCGAGGAGAAAGAAAGATACCGTCTCTGCCCTCACAGCGGTAGCAATGGTGATGGAACTCCTTCGAGGCTTTGAGTAAAGCAGGAGAGAGGAGAGCTAGGAACCCAGCGATACTGTCAGAGCACTTTCCAGGACAGAGTGAGAGAGGAAAGGTGCCATTCGGGGGAGGAGGGTTGTCTCCACTGGCATTTCCTGACGGAGTCCTCCTGCTCTCCGTGGTCAGGTACACCTATGGGAAGCCCATGCTGGGGGCCGTGCAGGTGTCGGTGTGTCAGAAGGCGTACACCTACTGGTACAGAGAGGCAGATCAACAGCTCCCTGACAAGTGCAGGAACCTCTCTGGGCAGGTGAGTAGAATATAAAAAAAAGAACCGTATTTTCCAAGGAGTAAGAGTAAATATAGAGGGGCTGGCAGGTAGTATAATAGTTAAGGTGCTGGACTCCCACATGGCTCACCGCTGTTCGAGTCCTGGACCTGGCTGGTGGCTTGCTTTCTCATTTTCTCTCCTTCTCTCTCTCTCTGTCTCTCTCTGGTAAATTTTAAAGTAATAATAATAATGGTAAGGGGCCAGGAGGTGCTGTAGTGGTTAAGATGCTGGACTCTCACATCGTCAACCGTCGGGTGTATGCACAAAATCCCGAAAGGAGCATGGAGGAGAACAGACTATAGCGTGGTCATTCTCCCCCGGGTGGAGAGTGAGTTCTCACTTTCTGTCTCTCTGTCTCTCCAGCAAGCACATGTGCCAGATAGCAAAAATCTCTAAAAAAAAGAAATGAATAATAGGGGACCGGTAGATGGCATAATGGTTATGTTGCTGGGTTCCCATGTAGTCGACTGCAGTTCAAGTCCTGGACATGGCAGCTTAAAATTCACACTAGGCGCGTGTGCGTGTGTGCCCAAGGTCCTGAGAAGAGAACAGACGAGAAGGAATTGCAGTGTATCCATCCCCCTGGGGGATGATTTCTCACTTTCTGTCTCTGTCTCTGGTAAGCACATGCACTCTATACCAAAAATCTTTTTTTTTTTTTTTTAAAGTAATAGTAAACTAAATTAAATCTCAATGCCAAAAAACAAGCTGTGTTCTTTACCCGGAACAGAGTTGTTAAGCATCTGCTTTGGAATGAAGAAATGAACCTAAACCCTTGCAGGATACACTTTTCAATATTCTGTGGTTAAGTCTTCCCCCCTTTCCGTATCTTGGAGCTTCAGAACTGTTTTGTGGTTATACACGTGAGGGAGAACTACTACTTCGTAAAGATGGAGAAAGTTGGGATCAGCAGATGGCGCAATGGTTATGTAGCTAGAGTCCCACACGGCCAGCCATGGTTTGAGACCTGGACCTGGCAGCTTGAAACTCACACCAGGCGCATGTGCATGCATACCCAAAACCCCAAGAGGAGAATGGAGGAGAAGGGATGATGGCACAGCCGTCCCCATGGGGGGTGATTTCTCTCTCTCTGTCTCTCTGGAGAGCACACGTGCCCTATAGCAAAAATCTCTCTCAAAATTAAAAATAAAAAAGATGGAGAAAATGAGGGATGGAGACAGAAATTCTTTCTCCCTACAACTACATTATGAAATGAAAGATCACTTGTCTTCCCCTTCTCTATTGTCTCACTAGACTGACAAGACAGGGTGCTTCTCAGCCCCTGTGGACATGTCCACCTTCAACCTCACTGGGTACATGTACAGCAACAGCATCAATATTGTGGCTACAGTGGTCGAGGAAGGGACAGGTAAGTAGAGTATAGCTTGGCTCATTAAGAAAAGAAAAAGGGAGGCCAGCAGGTGGCATAGTAGTTAAGGCGCTGAACTCCTGCATGGCCGACTGTGGTTCGAGTCCTGGACCAAGTGACGTGTGCATGTATACCCCAAATCCTGAACGGAAAGGGAGGAGAAGGGATTATGGCATGGCCATCCCTTCTGGGGGGTAATATCTCACCTTCTGTCTGTCTCTCTCTGTCTCTCTGGGGAGTGCATGCACTCTATAGCAAAAATCTCTCAAGAAAATGTAAAGAAATTAATTATGGAAAAAGGATAATTATCAGAGGCATAGACCTACTCAGAGGATTCACAATCTACCCTCATCAGTGTCTGGGAAGAACCCTGTTTCCAGTTCACAGTCATGAGGAAATCCCAGATTCCACCCTGCCAGCCATCTACTGCCTATTTCCACGTGGTGGGGGGATTCGTTTGCCTCTTTGGCCAGAAATACAGTCGGCCTCATGCTTCTGTTGGTGTCACACTCTCAGGGATTTCGTGTTAAACATGAAGACGAGGCTATCGAGCCCTTAGATCATTGTAGTTCCTTCTTCCCTCTGCAGGCGTGGAGGCCAACACTACTCAGGATGTCATCATTTCTTCACAAATGGGATCGATGACCTTCGAAGATACCAATAATTTTTATTACCCCAACTTCCCCTTCAGTGGGAAGGTAGGTTGAAACATGACTCTCCGTAGACAAACCACGCTTAGCCATTCACTCCTTTGTCCTTCCCGTGGACGTATCATGAGAGCTGATTTAGCTCCAAGGTCTTTACCGATACTCACTCAGTTCACGTGGAAGGCCACTGTTGGCCACGTTGTATGGATGAGAAGACGGAAGGAAGAGAGACTTAGTGAGTTGTCCCAAAGTTACATAGGGAGTAAGTTGTAGTTATGACGAAACTCAGGGGGCCTGCATTCAGAGTGTACACTCTTAACTTCTTTTTTTAAGAATTATTTATTTAATTTTATTTATTACTGTTATTCTTCAATTTTACCAGAGAGAGAGAGAGAGATAGAGAGTGAGAAAGCAAGCTGCCAGGTTTGTGACTTGAACCTTAGCTGGCCGTGTGGGAGTCCAGAGCCTTAACCACCACGCCACCAGCCAGCCCCACCCTCTTAACTTCCTATGCTGTGTTGTCTGAAATCCCACATAAGATGTGTTTTAGATGTAAATGTAGGGCCCTTCCTAATGTCAAGACCTCATCTTCTAAAAAGATATGGACAGGGGCCAGCAGGTGGCATAGTGGTTAAGGCGCTTAGACTCCCACATGGCCAGCCATGGTTCGAGTCCAGGACCTGGCAGCTTGAAAAATCACACTGGGTATGTGTGTGTGAGCCCAAAATCCCAGGAGAAGAATGGAGGAGAAGGGATTGTGGCATGGCCATCCCCGCTGGGGGGTGGTTTCTCTTTCACCCTCACCATCTCTGTCTTGCCGCTGAGCACATGCACCCTAAGGCAAAAACCTCAAAAGAAAATAAAAAGATATGAACATATTTTTGAATTTAAGAGCAAGGTTTGCAGAGAAAACCTCAAGTCTGGCCTCTTTCATTTAGGTAAGATTAATGTCAGACTTTCCTTGATGGAGAGCCTTTTATAGCTCCGTAAGCATTTTATTTCGGGATTTAAGTTTTTCCTTTCTTAGTGTCTTCTGGCTACTCTCTTCTCTCTTAAGCTTATCTGTCTTTACTTTCCAAACTGTCAACACATATTGTATCTGTTAAAACTCACTTATTTTTTTAGTCATCTCACTAGCTCGATCTAGTATTTTAGAGCCTAAGGATGACATCATTTGGGAGGTTAAAGGTGGCTCCCTTTGAGGAAAGAAAGCAAAGTAAGGTAGAGACCCCAGGGGGCTGTGCAGCGAAGGGTCCGAAGGCTTCATTAGCTCCATCTGCACGCGGATACTTCTGTTCGTTTCTCAGTTCCTCAGAGATCCTAGTCTCTAACCCTTGAATTAGATTTACCTTTCTCTGGACTCTTCTGAAACGGATTCTTAGAATTTCTGTTCTCGTGTCCCTGTAGCTCGCACGCCCACTTGCTCCAAGCCTAATTCTAATGCCCTAATGACCTTCACTCCTCAGATAAGAGTTAGGGGCCATGACGGCTCCGTCCTCAAGAATCACCGGGTGTTTCTGGTGATTCACGGCGTAAATGGAGCCACCAACCAGACCCTCACTACCGACAGCGATGGTCTAGCCCTCTTCAAGCTCGAAACTGTAGATTGGAACGGGACGGACGTGTCCTTGGAGGTAAGCACTGGGGATAGACCAGCTTCTCAGAAGGAAGGGCTTTCCTGAAACAAGCTTTGCCACGGTCCTGTTTCTCATCGGACCCTCGGCCTTAATTCCATCTCCCTCGCTCTCCGGTCCTGCTCGCCAGCTGACAGATTTTCTCAGCTCTCTTTTCTGTTTAATATCAAATAAACAACCGTTCAGTTAAAACTATAATTTCTATGGGTTCATCTTATAATATATTCTTTCTTTACGTGATCCTATATGTAAAATCAGAGTCAAGTGTTTTGTTTTGTTTTTTTTCTTTTTAGAGAGATTTTTTTGCTATAGGGCGCGTGTGCTCGCCAGAGAGACAGAGAGAGACAGAGAGGCAGAAAGCAAGAAATCCCTCCCAGGGGGGATGGCCACACTGCAAACCCTTCTCCTCCATTCTCCTCGCAGGATCTTGGGCAGAGACGCACACGTGCCTGGCGTGAGTCCCACTGGGTCTGGGACTCGAACCACAGTTGACTACGTGGGAGTCCAGCAAAGTAACCATTATACTATCTGCTGGTCCCAAGTGTTTTTTGTTTTTTTTTGTTTTTTCCTATTCCCTTTTCCTCTTTCCCCATTTCTCATAAAAATGGCAAATGAAAGAACTCTAGATTTTAGATAACTTACAAGGAAGCTTACTGTATCAGTGACCAACTGTTACAGCAATGCTGTTTATTAAATAGTTATTAAATGTAGGGACCAGCAGTTGGCGTAATGGCTATGTTGCTGGACTCCCATGTAGTCGACTGTGGTTCGAGTCACGGACCCAGTGCCTTAAACTCACGCCGGATGCGTGTGCGTGCCCAAGATGGCATGGCCATCCTCCCTGGAAGAATGATTTCTTATTTTCTGCCTCTCTCTGTCTTTCTGGAGAGCACGTGTGCCCTATAGCAAAAACCTCTCCCCCCCAAAAAAGTTACAAAATGTAAATATCCTACAACGAAAAGCACTCATTCCCATGCATCTCGGGTGTATCACCAGCTAGCTCTGCTAACCTTGATAGATTTGCTTAGTTAGGTCTGTGCATCGCTGGCAGTAAGCTGGTGCCCCTCACGCCTCTCAGGACCCAGCAGGCCAGCCCAGGTACATCTGTGTAGCAAGGAGGGGCAAGAGCAGGCGCTGACATACAGGACGTTTCCACGCCTCTAGTTACTCTGCATGTGCTAGCATCCCGTTTCCAACACGCCACACGGTGGGTGACAGTCAGTCTAAGTCAGTAAGATTGCATGGATGTGGATACAGGGAGGGAGCCACTAATGCAATTATTCAACCTCCTTACTTAAGCAAAATATTTCTCTTGTGCTAACTTGACTATTTCTTTACCCAATCAATCATCCTTTAGTCACTGTACTCAGACATTGTTTTAAAGTGTATTTATTTCTTTAATGAAGGGGCATCCCCAGAGGGTCTTTACTCCATGATCCACCCCCAGGCTCGGCTAGCCAGGATCAGTGCACAGGCACAGAAAGCCATGCCTGGCTTGTACACGGAGACCTTGGGATAAGAATCTGGGACCTTCTGGGAGCAGCAGATGGCGTAATAGTTACATTGCTGGACTCCCACATGGCCAACCGGGGTTCAGGTCCTGGACCCAGAGGCTTGAAACTCACGTTGGGCATGTGTATGTGCTTGTCCAAAATCCTGAGAGGAGAATGGAGGAGAAGGGATTGTGGTGTGGCCATCCCTGGAGGGGGGCGGGTGTGATTTCTCACTTTCTGCTTTCTGTCTTTCTGGTAATGCACACATTCTGTAACAAAAATCTCTCTTAAGTAAAAACCCATGACCTTCCCATATGGCACTGTGGTAGAATGTTGCATTATCACTGTTCCTCTGGGATTCGCCACAAAGAATTATTTTCAATTTTATTATCCTCCATACCCATATTACCCATGAAGTATAACTTTTTTTTAAAGAATTATTTTATTGAACTTTATTTAATTAATTAATTTATCTATTTATTTATTTTAATTTGACCAGAGAGGGACAGAGTGAGAAAGAGAGAAAGTGAGAAAGCAAGCCACCGGATCTGGGACTCGAACTGCAGTCAGCCATGTGGGAGTCCAGTGCCCTTGGCCACCATGCCACCTGCTGGCCCCGAAGTATAACTTTTTAAAGTTTGTTTCCTCTATGACAGCGAGAGAGAGCAAGAGAGACAGGCACCCTCCACAGAGTCCTCACGCTGTGGTCCTCCTGCAGCCAGTTGGGATCACAGGCACGTCTGCAGCAGAGACAGACCCAGGATGGGACTTGGAGCCCTCCTCCACGGCCTCCCGCCTGTGCCACAGCTCCGTGGCTGCCTATGGCACCAGGCTGGGCCCGCTCTTTGATTTCTATGTAATCTTAGTCACGCTTATCTACCTCCAGGCGTCGTCTGTGAAGGTGTATATCCCACAAGTTCCCCTTACTTGATAACTGTGACTCCGCCCCCGTCCCTCGCCTACATACCAGCCACGTGCATGCGGCACACATCGTGTGGAGGACTTCCTCATCCACCCCTGGCTGGGCCTCTGATGAAATGCCCTCGTGCCATTCTAGGCACTGAAGATCTGAGACAGAGTTCTACCTGAACGCCTCAACAAGTCCATGGTTGGGTACATGCTGAAAGGACCTCTTTCCTCTCTCTTTCTCTCAGGGAAAGTTCCAGATGGAAGATGTGGTATACGACCCAGAACAAGTGCCTCGTTACTACCAGAATGCCTACCTGCACCTGCAGCCCTTTTACAACACGACCCGCAGCTTCCTTGGCATTCGCCGGCTGGACAGCCAGCTGCAGTGCGGCCAGCCCCAGGAGGTGCTGGTGGATTATCACATCGACCCCGCTGATGCGAGCCCTGACCAAGGAATCGACTTCTCTTACTACGTGAGACTGGAAAACGGGGACTGGAGAAAGCCAGTTAGGAAGGAAAAGGGATGAGGAGAGGCAGCCAGAGAGGGCAGACTGACTAGCTGGAGCTATGCACAGCACGTGTGTGATTTCAACCATTTTTAGAAGCCACATTTAAAAAGTGAGAAGAGAGGCAGCCGGTAGCATCCTGGTTAGGGTGGCTGGATCCCACATGGCTAACTGTATGGTTTGAGTCCTGCTACCAGCAGCTTAGAAAAAAAATCATGTCAGGGCCAGGGGATGGTGGTGGTGTGGTGTTCATGCATTCCCAAAATCCCAAAAGGAGAATGGAAGAGAAGGGATTGCTATGTGGCCATTCCCCTCAGGAGGTGCTTTCTCGCCCACCTCCACTCTGTATTTCTCTGTTTTCAGGAGCATGTATGCACCCTATAGCAAATTAAAAAAAAAAAAAAAAAAAAAGCAGGTGAAATTCATTTGTAACATATTTTATTGAGCCCAATATATCCAAAATACCATTGTTTCCACAATCAATATAAAAATTATTAATAGATATTTTACATTCTTTCAACATATCTTTCTATTGCAGTATATATTTAATACTCAAAACATCATGACTTGAAGTAGCCACCTTTCAAAAGTTCAATATTTGTTTTTTAGAGATTCTTGCTATAGGGCACGTGTGCTTGCCAGAAAGACAGGGAGAGACAGAGACAGAAAGTGAGAAATGACTCTCTGAGGAGATGGGCCCGCCACACTCCCCTCCTACATTCTCCTCTCGGGATTTTGGGCATGCATGCGCATGTACCTGGTGTGACTTTTAAGCCACCGGGTCTGGGACTCGAACCATGGTCGACTACATGAGAGTCCAGAGACATAACCATTACACCATGAGCTAGTCCCAAAAGTTCAATGTTTGGATGTGGCTAATGAATACTATTTTGTACAGTAGTGGTGCAAAGGGTAGAGAAAATTGAGGAACAGAGACAGTTTGAGCAGGAACTTAGAGAAATGTTGTGGGAACAATAAAATGAAGAATTGACTGAGAAAACCCTTGGCCAGAGTCAAAAAGGTGGGTGGGTGGAAGGCAGGATGAAGAAGGTACGAGAGTTGGAATCAATGTCATTCTGTGTTCCACTGGTCAATATTTTAAAATAGACGGTATTAGGTAAAACATTGACATTCATGGCGGCCTTGTTGGGGACATAAAATCATGACCTGGTCACCTGAAAGAAATGTGTAAATATAAGCAGCTTTGCTGGCCAGCCTGGTGACAGTAAGAGGTTGTCACGTACGCTTGGGTTTCATGATCCAGAGTCTCAATCTTCCTCATCCTCTCATCTCTGAGAGATTTCCTCCTCTGTGGATCAGTCTAGTATCTTCTATGATCTCTGTGTCTTCGGTACAAGCAATCATCTTGAATGAGGGGGGGGTAGGTGGAAGATGACAAGCCAGAGCAGTAACGTAGGCACTGTCTTTAGGACAGAGTGCCGCACGGCCTCGGGGAAAAGGGAGCTTGAGGCTGAGCAGTGTGGGTGCTAATTCGGAGTCTAGGGACCCTGCCACAGAGCCCTGGGCAGACAGACACATGACTCCACAGCCTGCCAAGAAAGAATTTCACTGACTTCTGGTTCAAGTGAAAGTGGACAGGAAGGGAAAGTTAAAAAGGAGATTTTTTCTTTTTTCCTCCGGAAGGTCAAATGTCAGAAAGGGCCCAGAATAGTTTAAGATAAACTCGCTTACATTCCATTTTGAACTGAGCCGTCATTTTTAAAAAATGATGAGGATGCATTTCAGCTGACTTTACCTTACAATGATTATAGGAGGGTAAGACCTCAAGAAACAGGGGCCAGGTGTCTACTGTGAGGAGCGGTTTCTGTGCTGACTGACCCCTCATCTCCCCTCACGCACCCTGTGGTTGTCAGCAGGCTTCCCTGGAGGAGAGTCCTCAGGGCCTGTTGGCAGCGTCCTGCGTTTGACAAGCTAATGGATATGAAGTAGAGCCCAGCTCTGGAGCGATGCTAGGAACCTCTCAGGGAGGGCCGCAGAGACCCTTCGGAAGTAGGGCCCAGCTGAAACTCCATAACTTCTGTGTTCTTTTCTTTAGTTAATAGGGAAAGGGGGTCTGGAGACAGAGGGGCAGAAACACCTGGACACTAAGAAGACAGGTGAGTGTACCTGCTTCCTCTGGAAAAGAATATTTTAATTAAAAAAAGTCATGATAGAGTGCATGCACACGCCTGTGTGAGAAAGAGAGAGAGAGAAGCACCGTCCACAGGACCTGGTCCCGCTGCCATCCCTTCCTCTAGTCTGTTGGGTCTTGGGTGCCCACAGGGGTGCCTAGCACGCTTCAGGCTGACCGGGCTGGGGATTCAAACTACGCTCACTGTGTGGGATCTGGCTTCTCTTGAGCAGTGCGTTGCCACTGTGACGTGGATCTGACCCACAAAAGGATATTTTAAACATCCAGAAAGGAGTCCTTTTACATAGAAGCAATGAGGCGAAATGCTGATAATCACCACAGAATAGAAAAATGCGAAGTTACTTGTACCATGAGGCCTAGGCTGGCCCGGGAGACGTGTAAATGGCTGAAACTGTGTCATTGGTGGGTAAGTGGATTCTCAGCCCCTGGGTATCCGTCTTCTCTTTCAGGACCAAAAGGCACCTTCTCTCTTTTCCTGCCCGTCCAGACTAGCCCCGGATCCGTCTCTGCTGATCTATGCCATCTTTCCCAGTGGCGGCGTCGTCGCTGACAAAGTTCAGTTCTCGGTGGAGATGTGCTTTGACAATCAGGTAAAATGGCAGTCAGGGACGGGGAAGGAAAGGGTGGGCATCGACAAGGGGCTCGTGAGTGCTGGGGTGAGAGACCGGGCAGGTCCTGGGAAATGCAAGGGTAATGCTGACGTTGGATATCGTAAGCATATAGGGATCATCTTGAGTGTTTTAGATTTAGGTTGAACTCTCTCTCTCCTGCAGCTGCTTTTTACAAAGTCATGCTGGGGGGCCGGCAGGTGGTGTGGTGGTTAAGGGCGCCGGACTCCCACATAGTCGACTGCGGTTCAAGTCCCGGACATGGCAGCTTGCTTTTCCACTTTTCTTCTCTCTCTCTCTCACTCTCACTTTGGCCCTCTCTGGTCAAATTAAAATAAATAAATAATGAAAGAAAGTTAAATAAAATAATGCTAAAAGAAACCCCCAAAAAGTCATGCTGGGAAGCCACGTGCTCTGGAGGGTTGTTCCACATACCCTCTTTGTTTGTTTTGATCTTCTGAACTTTCTACTGAGTCGTCGAGAAAGCCGTGACCTATTTTCCTATGTTTTTCTATGCAAAAATACGTCATGACTTTTCCTATGACCCAGTATAGAATTCTACTGTGTTGTTCACTGTTTTCGACTCTGTCATAATGTACTAGTCGTAGAGAACTAGACTTCATAAAGAATCATTAAGTATAAAGAAATGGCTTAGCTACCATCGCTGGGGCATGTTGGCTGATGCTCCAAATCACATTATCAACCAAGTCCCTAAGTTGTACCTTCTCCTTCCCCAGGTTTCCATTGGCTTCTCACCTTCACAGCAGCTTCCAGGAGCAGATGTGGAACTACAGCTACAGGCAGCTCCGGGGTCCCTGTGTGCAGTCAGGGCTGTGGACGAGAGCGTCTTGCTACTTAGGCCGGAGAGAGAGCTGAGCAATAGCTCTGTGAGTGGTTGGGTAACCAGGTGGGAAGCCAGCTGACAGAGAAAGCAATTAGACAGCATCAGGATAAGAGATGGGTTGCAGGGAATGGAGAGAAGGTCTTAGAGAAATAATGCACCGTCCTAAGAAGGTGTAGCAATGAAGGGAGAAATGACGGTATGAAAAAGGTATGGTTAATATAGTCACAGAGATAAGGAAAGAAGATGAAATAGGAGATATGAGAATTATGAAAAAATCTGACATAGAGGTTAAACTTTTGAAAGAAAAATTGTTTGTGATAGAATAAACATGAGAATGATTCTGGTGTAAAGACGAGAAATATGCAGGAATAGCAAATGCTATTACCAGAATCTGAGAGTTTTCTCAAATGACTTTGCTGTGTCTGTCCTCTGTTTTCTTCTCTCCTCTTGTCTCAGGTCTACGGGATGTTTCCATTCTGGTACGGTAGCTACCCCTATCAGGTGGCCGAATATGACGAGTGCCCAGGGTCTGGACGGTGGGACTTTCCTCAGCCTCTCATCGATCCGGTGCCAGAGGGACGTTCGAGCAGGCACTCTGCCATCTGGAGTCCCTGGTGGTTCTCTCGGGACACGGACCCTCTCAGTTTTTTTCAGGTAAATGTTCTTACTCGTTTTTCCCTGTAGAAACAATGGCGATGGGAATGGGTAAAGGAAAGTGTGATCTAGGAACGCAGTGAGCAGGTAGGCGCTGATAGGAACAAAACCTTGAAGGAAGTTTCTGTCATGTAAGACAGCCCCTCTTGGCTCTTACGCTCGAAAAAGTCACCCAGTTGAAAGAGAACCCCCTTGAGAAGCTAGAAACCCAATTTTCTTCTTTCAATGGGTCCCAAACATTGATGTGTCAAGAAGGAAAATGAAGGAAGGTAGGCCAGAGTTCTTTTATCATAAGAAAAAAAAAAAAAACACCCATTTTCCACCTCTGTATGATCAGGAGTTTGGGATGCTGTGTGGTCTGAGTCTGACCAGGTCTCTGAGGTCGGAAACCATGGCTCGTTCATCTTTGTATTCTCTCTGGTGCTTGACCTTCATATTGCTCTTTGTATTTGAGGGTTGTTTGTTTGTTCGTTTTGGTTTTTGCATGGGCAGTCTGCTGGCCAGAGAGGAAAGAGAGAGAGAAAGAGAGAGACAGAGAGGAAGTGAGAAATCGCCTCCCAGAGGGATGGCCACCCACAATCCCTTTTCCTCTATTCTCCCCTCGGGATTTTGGGCACACACGCACACACTCCCAGCATGATTTTCAAGTCACTGAGCCCGGAATTCAAACCATGGATAGGCATGCGGGGATCCAGCCACTTTAACCACGATGCTACCTGCTGGCCCCTCATTGAATGCATGTTAAATTGATTAAGTTAACGTTGTCTCTGATATCAGAAAGTTCAGAGTATAAGCTAAATAATAAGAATATGGTGACTAATATGTACAAACAGACACATTTAATGATGAAATAAGTAACAGGCTTTTGCACTAGCTGGAAAAGGAAAAAAAAAAAACTAATTTTGATGGTTGTGTGCTGGGTGGTAATGACCATTAATAAGAAAAGAATATTCAGGGCCAGCAGGTGGTGTGGTGGTTAAGGTGCTGGACACTCCCACATGGTTGACCACGGTTCAAGTCTTGGACCTGGTGACTTGCTTTCTCGCTTTCTCTCTCTCTCTCTTTCTGGTCAAATTAAAATAAATGAGTAAATAAATAAAATTAGGGACCAGCAGTTAGCATAATGGCTATGTTGTTGGACTCCCATGTAGTCGACCACAGTTCGAGTCCCAGACCCGGTGGCTTAAACTCACACCAGGTATGTGTGCGTGCATGTCCAAGATCCCGAGAAGATAATGGAGGAGAATGGATTGCGGCATAGCCATACCTCCTGGGGGGGTGATTTCTCGCTTTCTGTCTCTCTGTCTTTCTGGCAAGCGTACATGCCCTATAGCAAAAACCTCTTATAAATAAATAAACAAATAAATAAAATTAAATAACTTTTTTTTTTTAAAGAAAAGAATGTTCATTGGACCAGCAGGTGGCATAGGGTGCTGGGCTCCCACATAGTTAACTACGGTTCAAGTCCCAGACTCGGTGACTTGAAAGTCACACTGGGCGCATGTGCTTGCATGTCCAAAATCTCAAGAGGAGAATGGAGGAGAAGGGATTGTAGTGTGGCCATCCCTTCTGGAGGGTGATTTCTCACTTTCTCTTTCTGTCTCTCTGGTATGGACATGAGCCCTATAGAAAAAAATTTCTCTAAAAAGAAAAGAATGTTTCAGTTCAGCTCTTTTTCAGTTCAACTCCTGGACAGTGGCCCTTGCCGAAGGGGAAGGGCACTTTAACTCTCTCTGCCCTCTCTGGTGCCTGCTAGGACGTGGGTCTGAAAGTACTGTCCAATGCCAAGATCAAGAAACCAGTAGACTGCAGCCGCCCGTCTCCAGAGGGTGCCAGACTAATGGGGAAAGGTGAGTGTCCTCCGTGGGCTGTGGATTCTCTGAGATTTGAGTCGTGCAGCTCTGGTCACCCCCTCTCTGCCTCCGGGCCTTGCACTGAACCTTGGACTTGGAATGCTCGTGGGTTCTGGGTCATAGGCACAGGAAGTTTCAGCAGGGTTTCCCTGTGGGGAGGGTGTTGGAAATCTGAAGCCCTTATTTCCCATTCCCAGACCACACGGCTGTGTGTATCCCTTCTCCGCCATGATCTTTGGGACTCGTTGGTTCTCGCGGGTCCTTTCTGATCTCTGGCCAGGGGTCTCTGCTTCGCTCTGAATCTCTCTCTAGAAGTCCCTCCTCGATTTCTTTCACAGCAGAAGTCTCTGTTTCCCATATTCTCTTATTTTTGCTCTTTTAGCAGGTGATGCTATTTCTGCAGAGGCCTTTGGATCATCATCTTCATCGCATCAGCCAGAGAATTCTCAGATCCGCCAGTACTTCCCGGAGACCTGGCTCTGGAATCTGTTTCCTATCGGGCAAGTGAATGACTCACAGCACAGCAAGATTGTAGCACCGGAGTCCCAGAAAACTCAGAATCAGATCATTTTTTTTTTTTTTTAATGGATTTTTGTTATAGGGCGCGTGCACTTGCAGGAGAGACAGAGAGACAGAAAGTGAGAAATCACCCCTGGGGGGCTGACCATGCTGCAGTCCCTTCTCCTCCATTCTCCTCTTGGGGTTTTGGGCACACACGGACATGTACCTGGCATGAGTTTTAAGCCACCAGGTCCAGGATTCGAACTGTGGTCAACTACGTGGGAGTCCAGTACGTAACCATTATGCCATGTGCTGGTCCCATCTTCCCTGAATTCTTATACAGTCATATGCAATCACTCTAAACAAATTTGCACATTTCCATATTCACACAGTGTGGAACTGTTCTCACCCCACATGCACGCATTTTATTTATTTCCTTGCTTGTTTGTTTGTTTTGCTATGAGGCATGTACACTCCCTGGAGAGAGACAGAGGACAGAGAGAGAGGGAAGAAAAAAGTGAAAAATCACCCCTTTCAGTGGAGGTGGCCACACCACAATCCCTTCGCCATTCTCTTCTCTGGATTCTTGGTGTCCAAGATTTTTAAACTGCTGCATCTGAGACTCGAACCAGAGTCGGCCATGTGAGATCCAGCTGCCTTAACCTCCACGCCACCTGCTGACCCCCAGATGCACAGATTTAAAGGCACTTATTGACAGGAGTGCTCACCCATTGCTTATGTGCTCATACCCTCAGGGGCGGACGGCACGAGCTTGTCTTCAGATATGCTTGCACACCCACGCCCACCCACGTGTGCCCCCTCATGTGCTGTCACCTCCCCTCTGTATTCGTGCGTCCTCACTCACCCGAAGGCTCACCTGAGAGTCGCACGTTGCACTGTTCAGTGATCTCTCCTTTTCCGCGTACAACATAATTCACTTTCGCAGTGAAACCGTAGCTCCCTCCACACGCGCTGCCTCTGCCTCACAGGGCTTTCATGTTCTCGCAGGAACTCGGGGAAGGAGGCGGTCCCCGTCACCGTTCCTGACACCATCACGGAGTGGAAGGCGATGACTTTCTGCACCTCTCCGTCCAGAGGCTTCGGTCTCTCGCCCACCGTTGGACTCACTGCCTTCAAGCCGTTCTTTGTGGGCCTGACTCTCCCTTACTCGGTAGTTCGTGGTGAATCCTTTCGTCTGACCGCCACCATCTTCAACTACCTCAAGGACTGCATCCGGGTGAGCGCGGGGGCACAGAGAACAGGTGTCAGCCCTGGAACCCCCACCCCCAAGTCTGTCCCCTAAAGTGGAAGCGTTCCCGTCCTCTTTGGGAAAGAGAAGAGCTGTTGATGGGCTGTGGACGTCCTCACTCTTGGTCTCTTAAACATCGTCTTCAGGTTCAGACTATCCTGGCTAAATCCGATGAGTACCACGTGGCCTCAGGGGCAGGTGCGCAGGCCTCCAGCTGCCTGTGTGCCGATGAAGCAAAGACCTATCACTGGAACATCACGGCTGTCAGACTGGGTAAGACAGGCAAGTGGCAGACGGGCAAAAAAGCTGCCAGCGAGAGCTCAGTGGCCGAGAACTCTACTCTTCCCTTGGCTGCGTTTACTTGCTCCGTCCCCCCTCTTCTTCTTCTTATTTGCCTCTTTTTTCCCTCTTCCCTAATGCTATCAGTAAACCAGCAAATACCCTTTAATAAGAGGTCAAAAACACTTACCTAAACGTAAGATTCTGAGTGCGAAAGGGGGAGGATTTAATCTCACAGCAGGACAGGGATGCAAGGTCATGTACCTAATCGGGCGCGTGGTATGGGCAGGCACTATTCTACCTGCTTTATGTCTTCACTCCCTCACGCCCTCACACTAGCCCTGTGGTATGTCAGTCATTCAGAGATCCAATCTGCCGCTCTAAGTCTGGTCTTCTTCAAATGTGTTAGGTATTTGCTGCTGCGTAACTAATTGCTGCAGAAGGCAGTGGCTTTAAAGAGCAACTTTCTTTTCTTTTTGCTCTAGGGTGTATGTACACACCAGAGAGAAACAGACTGAGAGAGAGAGAGGGATAGAGAGAATGAGAAAGCACCCTCCAGGGGGATTGGCCATGCTTCAATCCCTTCTCCTCTTGGGATTTTGGGCATGCACACACACATGCTGGCTTGTTTTTTAGTCTGGTGGTCTGGGGACTTGAACTGCTCAGTTGGCTACGTGGGACCCAGCTTCCTGAACGTCCATGTCACCTGCTGGCCAAAGAACAATATTCCTTATCACCTACTTTGTGTGCGTCAGTAAGCTGAGTGTAGCTTAGCAAGGCGCCTCTGGCTCAAGGTGCCTCATAACGTGGCTGTCAAGCTGTCACCCAGGATTGTGGTCTCATCCGAAGGCTTGACTAGGAAAGAATTCACATTCGAGCTTCTTCCAAAGCCTCCGTTCTTCACAGGCTGCTAGTTGAAGACATAATCTTTTTTTTGTTGTTGTTGTTGGGGAGATTTTTGCTATAGGGTGTGTATACTTGCTGAGAGACAGAGACAGAAGGTGAGAAATCACCCCCCTGGAGGGATGGCCACACCACAATCCCTTCTCCTCCATTTTCCTTTCAGGATTTGGGGCACACATGCACACGCTCCCAATGTGAGCTTCAAGCTGCCAGGTCTGGGACTCGAACTGTGGTCAGCCATGTGGGAGTCCAGTGATGTAACCATTACATCATTACGTCATCTGTTGGTCCCAAAGACATAGTTCATGACCTCAGTAGTTGGCTAGACACTTTGCTCAGTATCTTATCACATGAATCTCTCCACTGGATGCCGTATCACATGACAGCTGTCTTACCCCAGACTACGTGGTTTGAGAACAGAAGTGTACCCAAGACAGAAGCTGTGGTCTTTTTTATAAGATAATTTCGGGGACAAGCAGTTAGCGTAATGGCTATGTCACTGGACTCCCACGTAGTTGACCACATTTCAAGTCCCGGATCCTGTGGCTTAAAACTCATGCCGGGTGCGTGTGCGTGCGTGCCCAAGATCCCGAGAGGAGAATGGAGGAGAAGGGATTGCGGCGTGACCATCCCCCCCCGGGGGGTGATTTCTCGCTTTCTGTCTCTCTATCTCTCTCTGTCTGTCTGGCGAGCGCACGCGCGCCATAGCAAAAACCTCTCAAAAAAAACCAGAAAAGAAACATGGGGGGGAGGGTGTTAGGGGAGCCGGTGGTGCAGTGGTTAAGGGCTCTGGACTCTCACATGGCCAATTGTGGTTCAGGTCACAGACCAGGCAGCTTGCTTTCTCTCTTTCTCTCTCTCACTTACTCACTCTGTTCTTCTCTGGTCAAATTAAAATAAATAAATAAATAAATAAATAAAGTTAAATAAAATAATTATTTTTTAAAAAATAAGAAAACACTGTGTTGTCAGCAGGTAGTCTGGTGGTTAAGGGTGCTGGACTCCCACATGGCCGACCGTGGTTCAGGTCCTGGACCTGGCTGCTTGCTTTCCCCCCTCTCTCTGTCTCTCTCTCTTGCTCTGTCCCTCTCTGGTCAAATTAAAATAAATAAATAAAATATTTGACCAGAGAGGGATGGAGAGAGACAGAGCGAGAGATGGAAAGTGAGAAAGCAAGCTGCCAGGTCCGGGACTCAAACCGTGGTTGGCCATGCGAGAGTCCAGAGCCCTTAACTACCATACCACCTGCCAGCCCTACTAAGTTAATTCTTTAAAAACGAACAAACAAAAGCTTAAGAAACACTGGTATAAAGGGGGAATACACCCCACGGGTACCTCTGACACTAGGGTTGAAGCCTTCCCTTCTCCTTTTTCTCCCCAGGTCATGTTAACTTCACTGTTAGTACTAAGATTCTTGACAGCAATGAACTCTGTGGGGGCCGGAAGGGGTTTGTTCCTAAAAAGGGCCTGAGCGATACACTCATCAAACCAGTTCTTGTCAAGGTAAGTTCCCTGAAAGTCTAAGCTTCAGGTGGAGAGAGCCGTCCTGGGGATGGTCACTGTCTCTTACTCCAACCCCAGGTAGCTTCTACTTCCTTCTTCCCTGGCCCCTTTCTGCCCTCAAACACTCGCCCAGCCTACGCCCATGGTCTGTGAAAGTGTCTAACACAATACCTGGCACAGTGTAGGCACTCAGTAAACGCGAGTCTCTCTTATTAAAATCCTCAATTTAATAATTAACTGCTTTTTTATTGCATTGTAGACTCCATTGTCAATTCTATTTTTTTTTTCAATTCTATTTTTTTTTTATTTTTATTTTTGGAGAGATTTTTGCTATAGGTCATGTGCACTCACCAGAAAGACAGAGACAGAAAACGAGAAATCACCCCCCAGGGCGGATGGCCATGCCGCAATCCCTTCTCCTCCATTCTCCTCTCAGGATCTTGGGTACGCACGCATACGCACCTGGTGTGAGTTTAAGCCACTGGGTCTGGAACTTGAACCATGGTCGACAACATGGGAGTTCAGCGACATAGCCATTATGCCAACTGCTGGTCCTCCTCAATTCTCTCTTTTATAAGTTCCCTAAACTTGTCCTTAGCCCTAACCCTTGCCCAGGAAGAATCGTACAGAAGGGCCCACCTAGAGTGGAACTGGAGTCGTTCTGAGCTTTGAAGAGCTCTGTCCTCCCGAGTTCTGAGGAGAGCCCTGGGGGCACAGCAGAGGGCCTCTTCTCCCCATTTGGATTTGTGTCCCCCTTTCCATGCCTTCAAAGCCAGCACCCTGACATTCACCTCTACTGTTTTCACCTGCCGGGGTCTCTCTTCACACCAGCCTGAGGGCGTCCTCGTGGAGAAGACACACAGCTCCTTGCTGTGCCCAGGAGGTGGGTAGACTCAGAGGGACTGTGGCGAGGATTCCCTTAGGTGAAGATTTCCATAGGCCAGAGGAAGAATGTATAGGACAAAACCTGCGAGTCTGGGGTGCCCTGGGGCCAGTTAACTGGGCGGCAGGGTGCAGAGGAGAAAATGCACAGCATGGCTGGGAACCTCTTTGGAATTTATTTTCAGCAAAGATCACTAGAAATAGGTTTTAAATATCTACTCTTATCTCACAGAAAGTACCGGGTACAGGAAACTCAGGATTTAAGAAAGTTTTTCTTTCTAGAAAGAAACACACACACACAGTCTCTACCTTCTACGATAGTACCTTCTCTGCCTCTCACAGGAAAGGCGGCTTCAGAGTCCATCTCCCTGGAGCTCCCCGTGGGTGTTGTTCCTGACTCCACCAAGGCTTACGTTTCTGTTCTGGGTAAGCAGCTAGAGATTCTTGGTTTTCTTTCTTTTTTTTTTTTTTGGAGAGTTTTTTTGTTTTATTTTGTTTTGTTTTCCTATAGGTTGCATGTGCTAGCCAGAAAGACAAGAGACAGAGAGACAGAAAGCGAGAAATTACACCCCCCCCCGGGGATGGCCACGCCGCAATCCCTTCTCCATTCTCTTCTCGGGATTTTGGGCACACACATGCGCCGGGCGTGAGGTTAAGCCACTGCATCCGGGACTCGAACCATGGTCGACTACATGGGAGTCCAGCAACATAGCCATTACGCCAACTGCTGGTCCCAGCAGCTAGAGATTCTTGACTTGAGAAAGTCGTGCTTGGAGGCTGCAAAGGTGTGGAGCTGGGTGGCGTGTGTGAGCCCACCGGAAGGACGGCCTGACAGATTAGAGGTGCTAGAGGGATAAGCCTGTTTCATAGACAGAGGACAGATAGAGGGCGAAGGTAGCAGTGTAAAGGGATTAGACCACATCCTGGTTAATAACAAAAGGGAGGGTCTCATGGTGTTGCAGTGGTAAAATACGACGCTGTGAGGCAATCCCATTTGCAAAGATTCCTGGTTCAAGTCCAGAGACCTGCTTAAGTACACCATGCACATGAAGGCCCATGACCTGGGACTGACTAAGGCTGGAGGTGAATCGTGGTGTCCGGACCCTAATGGGGTTGCCATTTCTCTCTCTCTGTTGCTCATGGAAGAAATAAACTGAAAAAAAAAGAATTCAGGGGGCCAGCAGGTGGTGTAGCAGTTACGTGGCTGGACTCCCACGTTTTCTACCAGCTGACCTGAAGCTGACCTGAAACTCACGCCGGGTGCATATGCATGCATGCCCAAGATTCCAGTAGGAAAACGGATGAGAAGGGATGTGTGGCCACCCCCCTGGGGGGCTGATTTGTCACTTTCTTCTCACTGTCTCTGTCTCTCTCCCTCTCTGGAGAGCTCATGTGCCCTGTGGCAAAATTCTCTAAAAAATGCAGAAGGGAATCTGGGCAGGAGGAACTGACAGGTCACTGAAGTTTGGTATGTATTTAGGGTTAGGTTGTCTACAAATTGGTAGAAGGGAGACATACGTGCAGCAACCATTTTAAAAATGAAAAATCTCTTGTGTAGTTTAGGAAGCTATAATCCATCATTTCACATAGGCAGCACGGTACTCTTTAGGCAGACAGGAAACGAGTAAAACGCGTGAGCTTAAAAATCATGTGAAACCTGCTTCTTAATGGGCATGTGACCTTGAGCAAGTTAAGTCAACAATTGCGTCTCTGCTATTCTCTTTGGAAAATAGCGAGAATAACCTGCCTCTCAGGACTGGTGTAAAGAGGAATGTGATACAATTCCCTGGCATAACATGCAGCGCATAGCGGGAATCCTGTGATTTTTTTCCTTCAGTGAATGAGCTGCTGTCTCAAAGAGAACAACCACAACTCCACTCCTTTTTTTTTTTTTTTTTTGGTTTAAAATTTCTTTCTTTCTTTCATGAGCAAGGGTGCCAGACAGACAGAGAGAAAGACAGACAGATGCATCCCGACAGGCTCAGCCCCTAACCCTAGATCATGGGCACGTCTGGGCCTGGTGCACTCAGGGAGGTCCAGACCCAAAGCCAGAACGTTCCCCGCGGGTCAGCCTTACCAAATGTCAGTTTCCCGCTGTACCACTATCTGGCTCCGAATGTCAGGGTTGGTTTTTTTTTTTTTCTTTCTTCTCTTGTCCCTTACCAAAATTTATGCTTAACTGTATTTTTTTATATTATTTCATTTTATTTTTGATTTCTTTTTCAAATAATTTTATCCTTAATAACCTGACAGTAATTCAAAATGAAAAAAAAAAAAAAAAAAAAAAAAGAATTAAACTCATTCCCTTATGGGGGATGCTTCCATGACGGCCTCACACAAGCGTGATAAGAAGGAGCTACGGAAACTGGTTCCAAAGGGACCCAGGGGTAAGAAGGCCTCCCGGCTCCGAGAGCGAGCAGCCTGGCTAGGAGTCTCTGAGGGCAGAGGGGGCAGGAGAGACATGAACTCTCAGGGACTCTCAGAGCACAGGCCGTGGCTGCTGGGCCGTGAGCACCTTGACCAACCATTTCTTGATGGTGACTCTGTGTCGTGAATATTTGTCGTCTGGGGAGAACCGGGCAGGCTGAGCTGAGCAAATCTGCTTTCCCGTTGGGTCTCACTTCCTGGACGTAGAAACCCGATCTCCCTGCTCGTTAGGTGACATTGGAAAGACGCCCAGAGGTTCCAAAGCCTTCCGCTGACTCGTCTCTTACTTTATTTTATTTTTTAAGGTTTTTACCACAGGACTTGTGTGTTTGCCAGAGAGAGACAGAGAGAGGAAAAATGAGAAATCAGCCTCCGGGGATGACCACACTGCAATCCCTTCTCCTCTGTTCTCCTCCTGGGATTTTGGGCACACACACTCACCTGGCATGATTTTCAAGCTATAGGATCAGAACCGGGACTTGAACCATGTGGGAGTCCGGCATCTTAAACCACCATGCCACCTGCATGCCCCAGTTTGACCGTATTTTATTCCCGACCCTGATTTAGCACTCATCCTAGCGTACTCTAGCTCACTGTGAGGAACTTGAGAACAAGGACCTCATTCTGTCCTCGTCCAGCTCCTCCGTGTAATTGACAGTCAGTGCATATTCGCAGATCTGAATGGACCTGTGTCTAAAATGCAGATGTTAATAAGCCTCTTCTGTCAGTCTCACTGCCTCATGAAGGAGTCGGTAGATAGAACTTGGAAAGCGTATCGGGGTGCTGTGTGTTCGGGAAGGCCTTGGTGATCTGGAGGGTGATGAATTTATATGTAAGGGAAACATGGAAAGACTGAGTGCAAGTGCTGCAGATTTTGTTCCGTCACTCGGCAGCTCCAGTGACATGTCTTTGCACAAGCTCCGAGCTCCCTCAGGCGTCTCTGTGGATGTGGCCAATAGTACCCTTAGCATCGTTTATAGGGACTTCCATTGTGATGTGTTGTAATTGCCCGCCGACTGAGCTCTCTGAAGGCAGAGACTGCGTCTGGCCTATCGTAGTAGCCTTGCCAGGCTACACAGTAGGTGCTCATGAAATGATAGCTAATACACATTTTAAAAATGATTTATTTAATTTTATTTAGTATTATAATTTTTTAACGTGCTGCAGGGCACATGCACTCACCAGAAAGAGACACAGAGAGAGAGAAGAAGTGAGAAAGTAAGCCACCAGGTCTGGGACTCGAACCACGGTCAGCCTTGTGGGAGTCCTGTGCCTTAACCACCACACCACCTGCTGGCCCCATACCATGTGTTAAATGAAGGCTAGTAACTTTTGTGTGTGTGTGAAAGCTAGTAACGTGGAAAGGCTCCTCTTTCTCTGTCACCCCCTTTCTCTCTTGTTCTGGGTCCCAGGCGACATTATGGGCACAGCCCTGCAGAACCTGGACAGCCTGGTGCAGATGCCCAGTGGCTGCGGGGAGCAGAACATGGTCATGTTTGCCCCCATCATCTACGTCTTGCAGTACCTGGAGAAAGCAGGGCTGGTGACGGAGGAGATCAGGTCTCGGGCAGTGGGGTTCCTGGAGATAGGTAAGTTGCTTCAGTCTTTCTCTTTTCCTCCAGGGTCTATGATAGGTTGATAAGATGCCCCACATCCTTGAAAGGCTGGGGGATGTTTTCAGTCTTCTGTAATCTGAAACCACATCTGGCTTCCCAGGGTACCAGAGGGAGCTGACCTACAAGCACAGCAATGGCTCGTACAGTGCGTTTGGGGAACAGGATGGAAATGGAAACACCTGGTAAGGTGGCCCCTGAGTTCTCCGCCCAGAGCACCGTTCCAGGCCCTCTGGTGCTGGTCCTCTACCCCGCCTCCAACCCCGACCCTTCCTGCATTCAGTCTTCCACCTCCTGAGGTTCCATCCATCCCAGCCTCACTCTTCTTCTGTTGTCCCTCCCCAGTTCTTGTCCCCTTTAGTGCCCCCTGATGGCCCTCTCTGCTAGGCCTCCTGTGGCGTTATGTGTCTCAGTTCCCTTCTGGAATCACACAGACTTAGAACTTTGTACCCTCACCTGAAAAACCTCGTTGGCCCATGTCTCCCTTTTTTTCCCATGTAGGCTGACAGCCTTTGTCACAAAGTGCTTTGGCCAAGCTCAGAAATTCATCTTCATTGATGACAAGAACATCCGGGATGCTCTCAGCTGGCTAGCCAGCAACCAGCTCCCGAGCGGCTCCTATGCCAACGTGGGACAGCTCCTACACACGGCTATGAAGGTGCAGATCCCGCGGGCCCTGCGCCCCACCGCTGTGTTTGAGAGTACCTCTTCTCTCCGACTGAGCCTAAAGGGCACTGGCCTGGAAGCCAGTCCTCTGCAGGTTTCAGCGCTGGCCCTGGGTGACCTTGGTCAACGTTCCTTCACTGGTCTGGGCCTCCACTTTCCTGTCTGTAAAGTGACAATAAGGCTCTTAAAGCGTGGCCTCCAGATCAGTGGCCTCGGCATCGCTGGGGAACATGTTCGGAACATACCTTCTGACCCCCAGCTCAGATCTCTTGAACGAGAAGCTGGGGGTGTGGCCAGAAACCTGTGTTAATAAGCCTTCTAGATGGTTCCGATTTGGGCTGAAGGTTGGGTCCATGGGACTGGAAGAACTCTGGACTTATTACTGTCTCATCAACTTTGAAGTGAAACCATTTTCTTTGGTGGGGACATGGAGGCAGCCCAGTGTCTTTGTAGTGGGCAATGTTCTAAGCACTTCGTTTATTTTTTAGAGAGAGATTTTTGCTATAGGGTGTGTGTGCATGGGAGAGACAGAAACAGAGAGCGAGAACACGAGAAATCACCCCTCAGGGGGGATGGACATGCCACAATGCCTTCTCTCTTCTCCTTTTGGGATTTTAGGCATGCACACACACATGTGCCTGGCATGAGTTTTTAAGCCACTGGGTCCAGGACTCAAACCCGCACTACGTGGAAGTCCAACAATGTAACCATTACACTACCTGCTAGTCCCAGTACTTTATTTATTTGATAGTGCTTAATATTCAAGCAAGTCGACGAGTTAGGTACTAGGATGCCACTATTCTTCCCATCTTACAGAGGAAGAGCCTGAGGCACGCAGGCGGCGTAACTTGCCCATGCTCGGTGCATGCTACTGAGTGGCAGGGCCGAGCTTTAGCCACACTGCGGTGTGGCTCTGTAGGCACTTCCCTCGCTCATTCAACATATTATCGGCACTCCTCCTGAACCCTGGGTGAGGTGCAGATGCAGTGGGGGCTGTTCAGATCGGAACACATCCGGCAAAAAACGATCTGTATGAGCTTTCCTAGGGAAGTCATTTTCACTACTGTTCCAGGGACTGGGAGGAGTCAATGAGCTAGGTATTGTTGTACCTTATTAAAAATGTCATGTAGGGGTCGGCAGGTGGCATGGAGGCTAAGACCACTGGATCCCACATGGCTGATCCTGCTGTTGGAATCCGGAACCCAGCAGCTTAAAAATCATGCCTGACGCCTGTGCGTGCATGCCCGAAATCCCGAGAAGAGAGTGGAGAAGAGGGGATTGTGTGGCCTGGCCATCCCCACTGAGGGGGGAGTCCTCATCTTCCCTCTCTCTCTCACAAGCGCACAAGCCTTATAGCAAAACAAACAAACAAACAATCAAAATCTCATACAGGTTCAAGTCCCAGTTTCATTTTTTGTTTTACTATTTTTTTTTCTTTTGAGAGAGGTTTTTGCTATAGGGTGTGTGTTCTCGCCAGAGAGACAGAAGTGAGAAATCACCCCCCAGGGTGGATGGTCACGCCGCAGTCCCTTCTCTTCCATTCTCCTCTCGGGATCTCGGGCATGTATGCACACACGCCCAGCGTGAGTTTGAAGTCACCGAGTCCAGGACTCAAACCATGGCTGACTACGTGGGAGTCCAGCGACATAACCATTATGCCATCTGCTGGCCCCAAGTCCCAGTTTTGTTATGTATTGTCCATATAAACTTGAACTGGCTATTTAATTTTTTTAAGTTTTTCTTTTTTAATCCATAGACAAAAGATAGTAATTTAGATTAAAATTTTTTTTAAACTTGCTATTGGACTTTTCTGGGAAAGGCATTTAAAAAAAATCTATCGTATCAAAGAGATGCCTTTTTGCAATTTGCACACAGTTCTTGCAGGTGCTGCTCTGCTCTGGTTTACGTCTTCCTGTTCCCCTTTAGGGTGGGGTTGATGATGAAGTCTCCTTGTCAGCTTACATCACGGCTGCGTTGCTGGAGATGGGGAAAACCACAGAGGTGAGTTTTGCCTGCCCTCCCCTTTATGCTCTTATCACGCCGGTTCCTAGAGACATCCGCATTGTCCATGTCCCCGTTTTAAAGTCAAGGAGGACATGTGGATTTCCTCATTCTAAGTGATGCCGTATAAAGTCAGTTTTCTCTTCCCTTTTTAGGACCCAATGGTGAATCGAGGTCTGCAGTATCTCAAGATCTCGGTCCCCTCCACCTCTGCCCTCTACACGCAGGCCTTACTAGCTTATACCTTCTCCCTGGCTGGAGAAACGGACATCAGAAACCTTCTTCTTGGAAAGTTAGATCAACAGGCTGTTGTCTCAGGTATGTTGTCCCGTGAGCAGTGCTCTAGAATTGGAAAATACCTCGTGAGTTATTTGTCATTCTCCTTAGTCTCCTCTGTCCTGCATGTATATTCAGTTCTAAGGTTCATGTTGTTCAAAGTTGCTAAGTCACAAAATCATTGTTGAGAATTTTGTGAGAAAGCCCAGGTAAGGGACCAGCAGTTAGCGTAATGGCTATGTCGCTGGACTCCCACGTAGTCGACTGCGGTTCATGTCCCGGACCCGGTGACTTAAAACTCATGCCGGGTGCATGTGCGTGCATGCCCAAGATCCCGAGAGGAGAAAGGAGGAGAAGGGATTGTGGCGTGGCTATCCCCCTTGGGGGGTGATTTCTCACTTTCTGTCTCTCGGTCTCTGTCTGTCTGTCTGGCGAGCGCACACACCCAGGTAAGTCCTCAAAGGGCATGATTGTACTTTTCAACTTGAAGAGAAACTGGATGGTAGAAGCCGCTCAGGACGTTTATCGGCATTGTAGAATTGCCTTTTTGGATAGCTTTAAACTTCCTTTGGTGTAGAATCACTTTGGGTGTGTTTTGTTGTATTTTATTTTGTTTGCCAGAGGATATAAGTGCTCACCAGAGAGAGACAGAGAGGGAGAAAGCACCTTCCAGTGGGGTGTGGTCAAGCCACAATCCCTCCTCCTCCACTTGTCCATCCTGTAGGGATTTTGAGCACACCACACACACTCCAGGGTGTTTTCCAAGCTACTAGGACCAGAGCTTGAACCATGATTGGCCATGTAGGATCTGGCTCCCTTACCCACTAGATTAGGGGGCTAACCTGTGTGTTCTTAGAATAATAGTTGATGTTATCATCAATTTTTAAAATAAAATATTTACACATTTTATTGATTTAACTGTGTATTTAAAATTATTATACAGGACATGAGTCTCACCTTTCATTTATATGAATGTCGTGGATGGGTTGTTCTCTCGTAAGGGCTTCGGGTAGTTTCATCTCGTGTGTAGGCGACTCTAGTCACGGCTCGGGGCCACGGACGCTGGGTGGAAGAGCCTGCCTCACTGCACCAGTTTCCTGGGGGTATCTCTTCCCGTTGTCTTGCTTTGCAGGCTCATGTTTTCTGTGATGCGTTTCCAATTAGATTCCTCCTATGGGGTATATAGTGTCTCTAAATTTCTATTTAATTAGACTTCTAATTTACGCTCTTCTCATTTCCATTGGTTCTTTTATTTATTTAATTTTTTGGGGAGAGATTTTCGCTATAGGGCGCGTGCGCTCGCCAGACAGACAGAGAGAGACATAGAGACAGAAAGGGAGAAATCACCCCCCAGGGGGGATGGTCACGCCGCAATCCCTTCTCCTCCATTCTCTTCTCGGGATCTTGGGCATACATGCACATGCGCCCAGCGTGAGCTTTAAGCCACCAGTCCCGGGACGCAAACCACAGTTGACTACGTGGGAGTCCAGCAACATAGCCATTACGCTAACTGCTGGTTCCCTCCATTGGTTCTTCTTTTCCTTCAAGTTACAGGTCATCTTGCATGTCTTAGTGGTCCATTTTGGTTTCATATTCTATCTGATTTTCTTCGAAGTCTATTATTTTATTAAAGAATCTTTTAAATTTAATTTTATTTATTATTATTATTATTTTCCAATTTGACTAGAGAGATAAAGAGGGAAAGTGAGAAAGCAAGCCACCAAGTCCAGGATTAGAACCATGACCAGCCATGTAGGAGTCCAGCGCCTTTAACTACCATGCCAACTGCCACCCCCTCCCCTAAGTATATTTTATTTCATCACCCTCACTAGAACTTTTCAGAGTTCTTACATATAGTCAGCCAGTTTTGTATTTTTTTTGGAGAGGTTTTTGCTATAGGGCACGTGCGCTCGCCAGCCAGACAGAAAGAGACAGAGAGACAGAAAGCGATAAATCACCCCCCAGGGGGGATGGCCACGCCACAATCCCTTCTCCTCCATTCTCCTCTTTGGATCTTGAGCACACAGGCACGCCCGGCGTGAGTTTAAGCCACCGGGTCCGAGACTTGAACCATGGTCGACTACATGGGAGTCCAGCAACATAGCCATTATGCTAACTGTTGGTCCCAGCCAGTTTTTGTTTTTCTTAAAATGTTAAACCTTTTGTTAAGTAAAATAAATGCTGAAAAATTTATAAAATTCTGTAAAACAAAAAATTTCCCCCAAACATATAAGATTTTGTTTTTTTTGTTTTTGTTTTTGCTATAAGGCATGTTTGCTTGAGAGAGACAGAGTGGGGGAAGTGAGAAATCACCCCCCCATTTTACTTTAGGGAATTATGTGTGGGTGTACACACACACACACTTCCATGCATGCACACACACCCCTATGTATACCTCATGATCAATTAATCATTTGATTCATAAAACTCTTTATTTTTAAATTTTTGCTATACAGCAATGTGCATTTGCATGTGTTTATGACAGAGAGAAGGCACCCCCTTGGGGGATGGCCACCCCACAATTCCTTATCCTCCACTCTCCTCTTGGGACTTTGGGCACACACATGCATGTGCCTGGTGTGTGTTTCAAGCTGCTGGATCTGGGACTCCAACTGTGCTGTCAGACTGTGGGATCCAGCCTTCTTAACCACTGTGCCATTAGAAGGCCCTAGAAGTCTTTTCCTACCCATGATTAATTCTCGATTATAATTTTCTCTGCTTTCAGATGCAGCATTTATAAAGCAATTAAGAGAAAGTCAGTATTTTTTTTTTTTTTTGAGAGGTTTTTGCTATAGGGCACATGTGCTTGCCAGAAAGATAGAGACAGAGAGGTGGAAAGCAAAAACTCACCCCCTTCTCCTCCATTCTCCTCTTGGGATCTTGGGCACGCACACACACCTGGCGCGAGTTTAAGCCACCGGGTCTGGGACTCGAACCACAGTCGACTACATGGGAGTTCAGTGACATAGCCATTACGCTAACTGCTGGTCCCGACCTTGTTAATTATGTTTCTCTCTGTGCAGGAGAATCCATTCACTGGAGCCAGACACCTACTGAACCATCCAATGCCAGTCCTTGGTCTGAACCTAAGGCTCTGGACGTGGAAATCACAGCATATGTATTGCTGGCTCTGCTTACCAAGCCGACGCTGACTCAAAAGGAAATAGCCCAGGCCACAAGCATAGTGGCTTGGTTGGCCAAGCAACGCAATGCCTATGGCGGCTTCTCTTCCACTCAGGTAAACAGCCTACTCTCCTCTCCATTGATAGGTAGGATTAGAACATGTGCAGAAATAGAGGAAAAAGTATTGCACTTACTGCTAGGTCCAGGGTCTTATAACTAAGTATATATAGAAAACCATGTGAAAAACATATAGAAGAACCGGGTGTGTGTGCGTGCGTGCCCAAGATCCCGAGAGGAGAATGGAGGAGAAGGAATTGCGGCGTGGCCATCCAGCCCCCCCTGCCCCCCGGGGAGTGATTTATCACTTTCTGTCTCTCTGTCTCTCTCTGTCTCTCTGGCAAGCACATGCGCCCTATAGCAAAAACCTCTCTTTAAAATAATAATAATAAATAAATATATATTCATATATATATGAAGAGGCCGGCAAGTGGCATGGTGGTTAAAGGCACTGGACTCCCACAAGGCGGACCATGGTTCAAGTCCTGGCGTGAGTTTAAGCTGCCGGGTCCAGGACTTGAACCGTGGTCCACTATGTGAGAGTCCAGCGACATAGCCATTGCGGTAACTGCTGGTCCCGGATTTTTGAGTTTTTTAAGCCACCAGATCTGGGACTCGAACTGTGATCGACTATGTGGGAGTCCAGTGACCTAATCATTACACCATCTACTGGTCCCTAAGAAAAAGTCCTTTTGTTCTTTATTCATGACAGAGTGCACATGCACATGTGAGAGTGGGAAAAAAGACGGAGAAAAGAGAAAGCACCCTCCTAGGGTCTGGTCGTGTCTCAGGCTGACCAGGCCGGATTCACACTGTGGTTCATGTGGGATCCCGTTCCTCACGAGCAGCACATCACTGTGCCACAGAGCCAGCCCCAGAATTGCTTTTTAATAAACTCTTTGGCTATTACTTGACATCGCATATCACATATCACCCACACAGGGTTTTCAGCTGGTGGTAAGTTCTCTTTCCGGGAATTGTTTCCATATGTTCAAGCAGCGAAGCCCTCCCTGGCCCCAATTCACAAAGGGTTGACAAAAATTGATTATAGCTGGCCAAGCTGTGCACGTATCCCTTGATCACAGCTTCCCTGGGTGAGTGACCGGCCTTCTTATTTAAAGGGCAGCAGTGATATCTAAATATGAATGTGCATTCTTGTCTGGATACGAAGAAGTGGGGTTTCTGTCCTCTATAATTGATTTTTGTTTTAAAGAGTTATGTAATTTAACTTTATTTCTTTACTTATTTTTTAATTTGACCAGAGAAGGACAGAGAGAGAGAGAGGGAATGTGAGGAAGCAAGCCACCAGGTCCGAGACTCGAACCTCACTCCGCCATATGGGAGTCCAACACCTTAACCACCATGGCCATCTGTCAGCCCATCTATAATAGATATTTTACAAAGTTTTTTTTTGTTTGTTTGCTTTTTTTTTTTTAGAGGTTTTCACTATATGGCGCGTGCGCTTGCCAGACAGAGAGAAACAGAGAGACAGAAAGCGAGAAATCACCCCCCAGGGGGGATGACCACGCCGCAATCCCTTCTCCTCCATTCTCCTCTCGGGATCTTGGGCACGCACGCACATGTGCCCGGCGTGAATTTTAAGCCACTGGGTCCGGGACGCGAACCGCAGTCGACTACGTGGGAGTCCAGCGACATAGCCGTTACGCTAACTGCTGGTTTCCAGATATTCTACAAAGTTGTCAAATATGTAGAAATTCTGATAGCATGGAGCAAGATATGACAATTTCATTGAACACCACGCCCTTTTTTCTCTCCCCAAGATGTGGTTTATATAAACCATATTTTCAGAAGGGAAAATTTCAAACTGAATGATACCAGGTCTCTTAGTGACAGTTTATCTGTCTTAGTTCTAGTTGAAGAAGAGACTGTCACATGTCATAATGGCTAAGAAGCTGTGGCCTCACCCTCTCCAGCTGTGACATAGAAAATCATTCCATAGGGGCCAGCAGATGGCGTAATGGTTATGTTGCTGGACTCCAACATGGCCACTGTGTTTCAAATCCTGGCCCCGGCAGCTTGAAACTCATGCCAGGTGCATGTGCACGCCTGCCCAAAATCCCAAGAGGAGAATGGAAAAGAAGTGGCATGGCCGTCTCCCCCAGTGTATGTGGGGGGGGGTGTGATTTCTCGCTTTCTGTCTCTCTTTCTCTGTCAAGTGCATGCGTCCTATAGCAAAAATCAAAAGAAAGGAAAAAAAAAAATCACACAGTTAAATAACTCCACAGACTATGCAATTTCCAGAGCTATCAAGTTACTGTTGTTTCCGTTCCAAATAAGAACAGTACAAAATATATACCGAACAGTCAGCCACTTGCGTCTAGCCGTAATCTGTTCTGAAGCTGTGTCCGATTTCTGAATCTGAGTTGATTAGATTACCCCAGTGACCTATGGCTGCTCATGAATAACTTGATGGTGATTTTCTGTGCAAACAAGATACCGTGGTTCCTATGTGACTTCCCTGGAGAAGGCGAATGTAGTTCTCGAGATCGTTAGAAGAGGTATACAAGCCAGATAACAACAACCAGATGTGTGGATGATGTACTTGTTTAGCGGTAATCCCAATGGCTCAGAAAATGGTAAGCATATGCCCGATTGTTTTCCGCAGGACACTGTGGTTGCTCTCCAAGCCCTTGCCAAATACGCCACGACTGCCTACGTGCCGTCGGAGAGGGTCAGTCTGGCTGTCAGATCCACTGAGGGTTTCCAGCACACGTTCAGTGTACAGTCTGCCAACAGGCTGGTGCTTCAGCAGCAGACCCTGCCTGACGTCCCTGGAACCTACACCCTGGAGGCCTCCGGCCAGGGCTGTGTCTATGCACAGGTATGCCGAGAGCCGGGAGGGCGAGTGTCCCTTGGAAAGAGTCGGAGGGCGTCACCGCAGAAAGAACCTTCCCTTCCTTTCCATCTTATTTGTGAGGCGGATAGTTTGAACTGTGCGGTCTCTAACGTGCTTTCCACTCCTAACTTGGTTATCTATTTTTCCCTACTAGGTAGTGCTGAGATACAATATCCTCCCTCCTAAAACTGTGGACACCTTCAGCCTTAGTGTGGAGATGGGAAAAGCTACATGTGGGCAACTCACTTCACCTCGATCCTTGAAGCTCACTTTCCACATCAGGTGAGGGAAGCTGAGGTGGGAGTAGGGGCGTCTGGGTCATAGGGGCTGAGCTGGGGTGTGTGTGTGTGTGTGTGTGTGTGTGCGCGCGCACGTGAGCATGCACACTGCGGATACAGGATGCATGAGAGCAGAAGTAGTAGGCTCATGCGTGTCTGCCTCTTCCTGCCCTCAGCTACGTGGGCAGTCGCAGCTCTTCCAACATGGCTATTGTGGAAGTGAAGATGCTGTCTGGGTTCAGTCCCGTGGAGGGCACCAGTCAATTCGTGAGTAACTTGTGTTTTCTTCACTCAACTAGCTCTGAGGGGTCCTAGCATCACCTCAAGAAGCTGGTGAAGTGGACATCATGGTGTGTGTAATGGGCATAGCAAGCACGTGTGCACGCATGTCCACACACAACCGTGATCAGAGGATCTATTATAAATGAGCTGCAAATTTGCATCAGACGTATGAACTGGGACCTGGAACAGTCTTGGTTCCTGTTTCCTGCCTTTCTCACAGTGTATATGTGGTATATGGTATATATGCTTCCGACTTTCTTTCTCAGCTTCTCCAGCAACCACTGGTGAAGAAGGTTGAGTCTGGAGGTGACACACTCAACATCTACCTGGAGGAGGTAGGTACTCTGGGGCTGGGAGTCAGAGCCTGCCTGCCTACGTGTCTTTGTGACTTCCCCTTCAGTTTCCGTATACCAGGATCACATTCGGGGGTTGGGGGGCTGACGGGGGAGTGCACAGCTGCGAAATGCGCTGTACCCCCATGCTGTGTACAGAGAACTCCCGGTACACTCTAGGGGAGCACTGTCCAACCGTGTAATGTGAGCGGTCTATGTTGTGTAAAAATTCCTATTGTAGTAGCCACACCTTAAAAAGCAGAAAAATGAGGGCCAGCAGGTGGCATGCTGGTTGAGGCACTGGACTCCCACATGGCTGCTACAGTTCGAGTCCTGGTCCTGGAGCCTTGAGGATCAACTTAGTGTGTGTGTGAGTGTGAGTGTGAGTGTGTGTGTACATGCCCCAAATCCTGAGAGAACAATGGAGAATGGACTGTGGCATAGCCATCTCCCTGGGGGTGATTTCTCACTTTCCCTCTCTCTTTTTGTCTCTCTCTGGCAAGGGAATGTGCCCTATAACAACAACCAAAAAAAACCCTAACAAAAAGGGGAGCAGGTGGCTTGGTGGTTACAGCACTGTATTCCCACGTGGCCGAGTGCTCAACAGTCACGATTAACATGTAGCTCTAGAGTGTAATGTGGTGGTGAGTAGCAGAAGCTTCGAAGCCAGACTGGCTGTGACTTCGGGCAGGTTGTTAAACGGTTCTATTTCCACAGCTGGAGAATGAGTGTGAGCAGTGGTAAAAATCTCCATCTATCAGATCGAGTAGGAAAAAATCAAATAGTGATTATCTCACAGAGCTACCTAAAGGGTTAAATTATTTAAGGCATGTTAAAATGCTTAGAACTGAGGGCTGGTAGGTCACAGGTAGTTAAGGAGTTGGACTCCAACATGGCCTACTGCAGTTTGAGTCCCAAACCAGGCAAATTGTTTTGTCAGTTATAAATTTTTGTCAAAACATTAATTATGACTATAATCCTAATGTCATATCCTTAAAAAAGTTCACAAAAAAATTTAAAATATGCTCTTACAAATACCAGTTTCTAAAAATCTAATCATTTAACTAAGTAAAATTTTCATTTCCTATATAAACTAATTTTCTAAACTATTAAACCAAAATTAACCAAAAACAAAGTTTAACAAAATTACATATTAAATACCAATATAATACACCTAGTTAAAAAAATAAAATTGATATAAAAATATAAATCCAATATTAAACATAAACCCATAAAAACATTGCTGCCTAGTTCTAAGTCCTCCTTACAATTCTTATTATTAAATTAACATGCTTTAATTATTCCTATTGTTAGTCTTTAAATTTTATAAAATTAAAAGAATCTGTTAATAAAGTTGTTCAATTTTACATTAAAAAATTATTAAAACAAGTTTTGTTACTATTGTTTGTTTATACATGTTCAGAAAACATAAACAATTAATAAAAATTAGGCCTATATATCAAAGACATAAACTATAAACTCCTGTCCAAAAACTTAATAAAATAAGTCTCAAAAAAACAAAATAAAACAAGTTAAGACTAATACTCCTAACTGCCTCCTCCCTCCCTGCCTTCTTTTTTTTTTTTTGGAGAGGTTTTTTGCTATAGGGCGCGTGCGCTCGCCAGACAGACAGAGAGACAGAAAGTGAGAAATCATCCCCCAGGGGAGATGGCCACGCCGCAATCCCTTCTCCTCCATTCTCCTCTTGGGATCTTGGGCACGCACGCACACGCGCACACACGCCCGGCGTGAGTTTTAAGCCACCGGGTCCAGGGCGTGAACCGCGGTCGACTACGTGGGAGTCCAGTGACATAGCCATTACGCTAACTGCTGGTCCCCCCTCCCTGCCTTCTTATACTCCTATTTCTCTTTAAGCCTCTTTCCCACTAAATTCTTCCCTTAATTAAATAACCAAAAAGTCTAGGAAAAAGTTTAAATTAAAACTATATTCTCCAACTAGCATTTAATTCCACTTGTTATTATAATTAATATTATTACTTTAATTTGACCAGAGAGAGACAGAAAGAGAGAGAGAGAGAGATATTTCTCTTTAAGCCTCTTTCCCACTAAATTCTTCCCTTAATTAAATAACCAAAAAGTCTAGGAAAAAGTTTAAATTAAAACTATATTCTCCAACTAGTATTTAATTCCACTTGTTATTATAATTAATATTATTACTTTAATTTGACCAGAGAGAGAGAGAAAAGGAAAGTGAGAAGGCAAGTTGCCAGGCCCAGGACTCAAACCATGATCTGCCACGTGGGAATCCAGCACTCTTAACCACCACACCACCTGCTGACTCCACAGTGGATGATTTCTATCTCTCTTGTCTCTCTCTTGTGAAAGGCTGTATATTAAATTTTGTACATAAACAGCAGTTTGTCTATTTCGTTTTCTTACCCTAACATGACTGTCTACTTCGATAAACCTACTTACTCTTCCCATAAAAAAATAACTTGCACTAGCCATACAAAAAACCATATCCAAAACAACATCCTATACCTACTACTGTCTTCGCTAGTTATCGCCGGCCCCCTTAGTCAGACTTTAGTGGTCGTTCATTCAGTTACACTCTACGGTAATCTTTCCAGTGAGTGCATGCACCCTATAGCGGGGGTGGGGGGACTCAAAAAATTATCCAGTTATTGTTTTATTTACCCATTTATCTCTTAGGTAGTCAGGAAAGTCATGATGTATTTTGTTGTTGTTGTTGTTAAAGAATTGTTTTATTTAACTTTATATATTTATTTTAATTTGACCAGAGAGGGACAGTGTGAGGGAGAGAGAGAGAAAGTGAAAAAGCAGGCTGCCAGGTCCGGGGCTCGAATTGCAGTTGGCCATGTGGGAGTCCAGTGTCCTTAACCGCCACACCACCTGCCGACCCTTTTTTTTTTGTTTTTCTATGCAAAAAGGTGTCATGCCTTTCCCAACGACCCAATATATATTTCTGTCAGTTTTTTCTTGAGTCTGTGTAATTAGATGCGTATTTATGATGATTTCGTACCCACCGTGTTTAAGTCTCACAATGGCCGCCCTTATACATAAGAAGACTGAGCGTGGAATGAGGAAGAGGCTTGTTCTAGTTGCACTGTGACTCACTCAGTCCCCCCCACCAAAGGGATGATTTCTCAGTTTCCCTCTTGCTTGCTCTCTCTCTGTCTCTCTCTAGCAAGCACATGTGCCCTATAGCAAAACAAAACAAAACAAAACAAAACAAAACAAAAGCAAAAAAAAAAAAAAAAAAAAAAAAAAAAAAAAAAAAAAAAAAAAA